TCTACCCCCTGTCCCTAGAACAGTGCCCAACACATAGTGGGTGCTCAATGTTCCTTCCATGAATTAAAGAACGGATGAGCAACCCCCCTCACTTTACTGATGGCCAAAGTGAAGAAGCCCAGAGAGGGGGAATAACTTACCCAGGGCCACCGAGTTTATCTGTAGGAAAGTTAATATTCATTCCAGAGCTGTCTGATTCCCTCCCCTGCCGCCAGCTGCCCCTCTAAACACACACACACACACACACACACACACACACACACACACACACAGGCATGCACACGCACGCACACCATCATAAGCCCTGATCAGCTAAGGGCTCAGCAGGGATTAGCTGTCTGTAGAGGCCTGTAATGGACACTCACAGGGAGAAGGTTGGGAAGCAGGCCGAGGCAGGGACGGCAGGCTCCAGGGTGGCCTCACTGTACTGCCCTGCCCCACAGAGCTGGCATTTAGTGAGCACTTGCTATGTGCCGGGCACCGTCCAAGGCTTTACTCTCCAACACAAATAAGCACAGAGGAACCATTATTACCACACTTTATAGATGAAGGTCCTGCCACTTGCCCAAGGTCCTATAGGGAAACCAAGGACTGCCTGCCTGCCAAGCCCATGCAGGCTGCCTTTTTGACGTGCTCCTGTAGTCTCTTCTCCTGTAGTAAGAAAGAGGCCTAACACTGAGGGGAGGACCCAAGGATTCTAGAAACTCATGGAAAAAGAACAATGCAAGGCCTGGCCTTAGGTTCCGGCAGGAAGGAGGGACAGAAACATTCTCTTCACATCGTGAAAGTCACACAGCTTGTAAGGGACAAGCTGAATCCAAACTGCCTGGTCCAGGGAGAGGGACGTGGTCAGCGAGCTGCTGGCCTCCTGTGCTCACTCTCGCCCCATACCTCAGCCCACAAGGACCCTCCCAGAACACCCTCCGTGCCCCACGTAGCCCAGTGAGCACATCCTGGTCTGCAGGCCCCTGGGCAAAACTGCCTTTGCCTCATTCTGAGTCCTGCCATGAGCCAGCAGGGCTCTGCTGAGTGGGGACCCAGCTCACCCCCAGGCCCCAGCCCAGCCGGGACCCCCAGAGCTCAGGGAAGTCTGGAGGCCATGCTTCCAATCTTTCCGTGCCCACGTTCCCTAGCCAAATGTCCTGAGCCCCTACAGACATGCTCCCAGAGATGATGCCTGGTTCAGGAGCCTTCCGTCCAGTGGGTGAACCATCTCCATCAATAATTCAGGTTCAGGGACAAGCTGCTCCAAGGGTAGGCGGGTACAAAAGCCTTGTGCAAACTCAGAGGAAAGAGACACAGAGCAGGCAGATAGGGAGAGGCCAAGGAACAGGCGACATGGGGCAGGGTGTGGGCACAGACAAAAGAGAGGGGAGGAAGAGTCCTCAGACACCCAGGGACAGAGAGATGGACACCAAGATGAGGAAACAGAAATGCAGAATGTGGGGGGAGGGGAGCAATGGGTGGCTGGGGCCTGGGGAAGGGGGGAGGTGAGAGGAAGCTGGGAGGCACCCGGGTGGGCCCCACTCCCAGGGCACCTGCTCCTCCCTTGCACTGTGTGAGAGCTCTTCTTACAGCTCTTCTTACGGCTGCCGTGAGGATAAAGACTGGTCATACAGGCCTGGCTCCAGCTGAGGCTAACACAGCCACTTTGTTGGGAGACCTTGACCACCAGGCAAATGTGGTGCCATCGGGGCCATGTGTCAGGGTCCTATAAATAACTGCCGCGCCTTCCACTCTGACTTGCCAGCCCTGGGCCCTGCCCTCTCCCAGCTGGGCCTCCCCATTCCCAGCAGGCTCTAGGTGGCCTAGGGGGACAGAGTGCATACTCCCACCCCCTGCCGGAGCCTCCTTCCTTGTGCTCATCAGCAGCCCCAGCTCTGCCAGCACACAGCCTCCCTCAAGCACACTGCTCTGCTTTGTGAGGACGCCTGAGCAGTGGGCCTCAGGGGCAAGCAGGCCAGGTTCCACCCCCACCCCAGCTGTCCCTTCTCCCCCACCATCCCCTCCCCCAAGGGGCCCAGCCCGCCAACCTCTAATCCTCTGTCATCTGACCCGGGCTCCACCCTACCTTTGGCTCTGTCCAGCCACCCTACTGAGGCCCAAAAATGGACGCAATGGGAAGGTGACCTCATGACGCCCCCGGGCCGAGCTCCAGGCACACGCTCTGCACCCCAGCACTCTGGGGGCAGCCGGTGGCTGGGAGGTGAGCAGTGTCACTGCCAAGCTCAGACCCTGCTGGCCCCTCTGATATACGCTTACGCCGTCCTCATGACCAGAGGCCACAGGACCTTACAACAGTAAGCTCCACGGCAGTCAAAGCCAGCACAGCCCGCTCCCCACGGCACCTTCGGCGGGGCCCGGGGCCAGGCACACAGCACATGCCCAAGGCAGAATTTGCTGAACGAGGAGCACACAGCACAAGTCAGCCCACCCACAAGCCTGCATCAGGACTCCCAGGCCAAGCCCTCAAATGCCCTTGTTTGTTCATACATAGTCACTGTACCTCCGCCAGGGCCAGGTGAACATTTGGGTGCACACGCAGGTCTGCTCTCCCCTCAGGGACAGCACCCAGACCAGCGACACAGGGATGGGGGAGGGTGAGATGGGTAATGCCAAGCCAAGACCCATGCAGAGACCCACTAGGCTGGGGGCACAGGAGAGCTGGCTCCGTAGGCACCAGAGGGCAAGCAAGGAAACTTGAGCACACTGTCACCCTTGGAGTCCTGCTGGATGTTTGGGCTGGGAGTGGATGTGGGGAAATCGGGAAAGAAGAAAAGGAGAGGTGGGGCCCTTGAACCTATGCGGATACTATCTAGGCCCTCCACCCCAGCTACTGCTTGTCCCTGACCAGGAGATGCCCTCCTAGGGCAACCGGACCGCTGAAACTGTCCCCATCATTCACTGATCTGGCAGAGGCCAGGTGGGGGAAGGGCGGGGGGGGGGGGGGGATGCCTGTGAGACCACTGACACTGTGAATTAGACATGGTCCTGAAGACCACCAGCAGATGACACACTCTGAACCACAGGAGGGCAAAGGGGAGATGCATCAGGCTTCTGGGAAGGGGGTACCGCGGCAGGGCCCACAACCGAGGAGACTGAAGGAAGGCTACTCTCTGGCTTCCGATGGGGGGAGGGTCTCCTCACCAGTGCCTGAGGGCCAGAACACAGGCAGCACTCAACAACTCCGGTCACTTAGAGCCCAGGCTTGGGCAGTGCCAGCCCTTGGCCAAGGCCAGCACCCATGGCTGACCAGCTGTCAGCCAACTGCCCATGCCACAGAACAGGAGCTGAAGAGGGAGGGGTGGCAGCTCAGTGGGGTCAGTAATGACATACTGCCACTTACAAGGAGGGGACACAGGTCATGCCTGCTGTCCCTGAAGTTACTGAAAGAGTTGCTGCAGAGACAAGGCAAACCAGGACAATGGGGACACCAAAAGAGCCAAGGGGAGCTAGGGAGGAATAGGACGTCAGTGGAGTGGGGGCGGGGACCTGGTCTCAGCTAACCTTCTGCTTCCCATTCATCTTTCCAGCCCCTCAGCAGCAGGAAGTAGTCTTAGCCCAGAGCTGCCCGCTCCAGGCACCTAGATGGATTACCCAGTCCAGGGCTAGGGAGGGGGGAGAGGGAGGAAGCAAGGGCAGAAGCATCTGCCCCTCCACCCCCACCGACGCTCATAGAAGCCTTCCCAGCCGCCCCCCCCCCCCCCCCCCCGCCCCACACACACACCCGCTATCTGGGGGGCTCTAATCCCTCCCCCCGCCCGGGGCCCGGAGGGGGGCGGGGTGGTACAGCTGCTGGGGCCAGGCCAGATCTGGAGACTGGCTGAGGGCCCTAACCTCCACACACACCCACCTATCTCCTTAGCCTGGGACCTTAAGGATGAGCGACGGGACTTAGGGAGGCGCCCGGGAAGCTCTAGCCGCCGTCCCCCCCGCCCCCGCCCCAATCACGTGACCGCATCCTTAGGGAGCCCCGCAGGTCTTAGCTGCAAAAGTCATTGTTTATAAACAGCCACAGCCAGGCAGGGGAAGGCCGACCGGTCCCCAGATTCCTCCTCTCGGCTGAGCGTCGGGCGGGAGAGAGGGCTGACTCCGCTGGGGGGCCCTGGGGGACCACCCCGGCTGGAGCACGGATTCTACAATCCTAGATTTCAGAGTCCGAGGCGGCAGGGGAAGTGGCGTCAGCAGCTGGCGTGATCCAATTCAATGAACCAGAGGTGGCTTGGGAGGGAAAAGTGAGCGCGCGCGGACCCCCGCCCCCGGGGTCCCGCACGTCCGGCACCGTCCGGGAGCCGCTGGAAGCCCCAGCTGCGTCCCCCCTCGCCTGCTGCCCGCTGCCCTGAGCGCCGAGGGGTCGGGTTTCCTGAGGCGCCCCTCCACGCCCCCCGGCTTAGCCCCAGCTCCTTCGAGCCAGCTCCCCACCCAGGTGGTGGGCTCCCAAAACCGGAGCCACCACCCCCTCCCCAGCCGCCGGAAACGCCAAGCCGGGGCTGGAGCCGGAGCACCACCCCGAGGGGCGCGCAGCGTCGTGCTCCCTGAGGGCCGGGCGGGAGCGGCCAGGCCGCGGGCACCTCTCGGCAAAGGAAACTCGATCCCTCCTGCGGCCGGCGGGGACAGAAGGTGGAGAGGCGGGCGGGGAGGAGGGAACGGAGGGCGTAGGAAGCGCCCAGAGGCCTGGAGAGCGAGTGCTCCAGCACCCGCGGGCCTCTGGGCAGCCTCGGGATTCCCGGAGCACGGCGGCCCTGGGGGACGGGTAACAGGCTCCCTCCTTCCCCCTGGAGCCGGCCCCGCCCGCGTGGCTCGCGTGGGGCTGAGGGGCTAGGGGCGCCACCCAGCCTCCCGGCCCTCGGTCTCCAACGTTGGGTTTACTGGACCTCGCGCCCCGAGAAGAGCGTGGGCCGCCTTTTCTCTGCAGACAGGCGGAGGAGATACAAAGCGGGTTGGGGGGGAGGGGGAGGGAAACGAGGGCGGGGGGGGGGGGGGTTGAGGGGACAGCTGCGCCCTCTCCTGCCCCTGCCGGGGGTGGGGAGACAAGACGCGGACCGGAGGGGGCGCCCAGAACGCTGGGGGCTGCAGCCTGTGGACCCCCGAAGGCTCCCAGCAGCGGTCGTCCGGAGGTGACAGGGCCTGATCCCGGGTGAGGACCAGCCCCTTGGGGTGAGGGGTTAGGGGAGGGAGGGGACAGGTGGCCCGGACCGCGCGGAGGCCGGGGATCTGGCTCCCTCACCTTCTCCTGCGCGCGCGTGAGCTTCTTCTGCACGTTGCTGGCGATCTTGCCTGCGGTCACCCCCTTGCTGCCCATCTCGGCCATCGTGGCTCAGGCCTCGCCAGGCGGCGGGCGCCGATCTCCCAGCCCCCAGCCCCCGGCCGCGCGTCCGGCCCCGGCTCCGGCTCCACGCCGCTCTCTCGACAGCCGAGCCGACTGACGGAGGCGGAGCGTTCGCCCGGCGAGCGAGCGAGCGACGCGGGGACCCGGGGAGGGACGGACCGAGGGAGGGGCGGGGAGGAGGGGCCGGGCCTCGGGCGGCGGTCAGCGCCCCCCGCCCGCCCCCTGCGGACCAGACTCTGCCTTTTAAAGGGCCTCCGCGGGCGCCGGAGCCCTCCGCGGACCCGGAGCGAGGGGAGGTGCGCGAGGGCGCCCGGTGCTGCGGCAAGCGGGTCTCCCGGGGCGCTCCGAAGACACCGCCCCGGGGCGGAGACGAAGACGCGGTCCTCCCGGGACAAGAGACCAGCCTGAGAAAGGGTGCGTTCCAAAACCAGAGGTTAAGGGCGGCGATCGGGGCGCGTCCCCGGGATCGGGGAGCCCCGGCCTGGACCGCGCGGCGGGAACCCGCTCTCCAGCCCTGGGTTTGGCTCTGGCCTCACGCGGGACGCTCGGCCTCGTCCTGGCCTGTAGACTCACCAGTTTTCACCTGGGTTCGGGGGGGGGGGGGGTGCCCTCTAGGACATCTTCACATCTCTGTCCTTGGCACCTAGTCCCATGCCTACAAAGCGCTCTGTCTTCCCATTTGCCGATAATTATTACGGTAATAACAACTGACCATTAACTGAGCACTTACTGTGTGCCTGGCACTCTGCTGTCTCCTGAACAGGCGGTATAGCTTCCAGTCTCCACAACAGCCCTATGAGGTAGGTGCTGTTATCATTCCCATTTGACAAATGGGCGCAGAGAGGCCTGGAACCAAATCTCTGATTCTGCCTTCCAGGCTCTCTACCACTATATACTGGGCTGCCTTCTCTTCTGCGAGGCGGGGAGGGGGATGATTAATGATCGTTATTCAAAGAGAAGATAAGGTTATTGCTAACTAGCTTTGCCAACAAATCAATGACACTTGTTCGAGATTTATAAATATGTGTTGAATCTACAGATCCCACTCACACCCCTTCCCCAAATTATGTCAGAGGCTATAAAGGATGCCACAGCCCTATGCTGCCCTGGAGGCCAGGGCACCGCCCTGCAAGGTTTCTCAGGCACCGAAGGCTGAGCTGAGTGGAGAGAGGAGTCCTGGACGCCCTGTTGAGGTGGGTGGACAGGTGCCAGGGCAAGGGTCCCTGGGAGGCTCCCAGAAGCAGGAAAGGAGCTTTGGAGACCATACACCAAGCCCCGCCCCCATATAAATGGAGAAACTGAGGCCCAGGAATAAAAGGTTTTCACTTCCCTCTGCGTGGAAGGCCTCCTGTACTCTGGCCACTCCTCCTCCTTCTTCTTCCCATTACTGCTCAGTGCCCATAAGGGATGATCTTAACCAGTCCTCCCTCCTGGCTTATTACCACTCGTATTTTGCAGAAAGACAGACTGGGGGTTGCAGCAGCTGAAGATCACAAGAGAGAAGCAGATATCCAAACCCTGGTCTTCCTGCACTAAAGCCCTCAGCTGATACACCGAACTGCGTCCCAGAAAAAGCACCAAGCACTGCACAAATGGAAAGCATTTTGTCAAAATTATGATTATAAACTCATGCCCGATTCGTGAGTTACAAAAACAAAACGTAAACAGCACAGCCTGAGTTGTTAAAGCGACTTTTTTCTAAAAGCTCAACGTGCTTTCACTTCATGGTCTCTCTTCTCCTAATTTTATGATTGTCGTTTTTCTAACCGTTCTCTAAGAGCGCGGTCTCCCAACACTCCTCGGAGGAAAGGAGGAAATAAGCAGAAGTCAAACCGTATTACAATCAGTTCCCAGGGAACAGTGGGAGACTGTGCTTCACTGGGCTTTGGTGTTGCAAAATATCACTTGACAAAAAAATTGGAAGCAACTTAGATGGTTATCAGCAGGATGGAGTCAGCTAGGGGATCATTCTAAACAACCATCCAGAGATGTAGCAACATGAAAATAATGCTTACAGTATAGTTGTGAGCAAAAAGGAGAAGACAAAAAACACTGTGCATGCACTCTGTCCTTGCAACCACTAAAAATAAATATAAGTGCTCGTGATCCAAGACTTAAAAGGACCATGCACAAAGGAAACAGGCTTTGTTTAAGGTCGAGAGATTATGGCTGATTTTTTCATCTTAATTTCCTAAATATTCTACAATATACTATATGGCCTTAATAACTAAACACATGCATAGCTCTATCTTTAAACGTGGTAATTCTTTTTTTTTAATGTCTATTTATTTTTGAGAGACAGAGTGTGAGTGGGAGAGGGGCAGAGACAAAGGAAGACACAGAATCGGAAGCAGGCTCCAGGCTCTGAGCTGTCAGCCCAGAGCCCCACGTGGGGCTAGAACTCACCAACTGTGAGATTGTGACCTGAGCCGAAGTTGGAAGCTTAACGGATAGTGCCACGGAGGCACTGAGATACCCCTAAACATGGCAACTCTTAATGTGATATCTACGTTGGAAAAACTTTTTTAAACACAAAAGCATTGGAAGATCTATTGAAATAAACAATGCCAGTTTGAGAGTACATAGAAATTTAAATGTTTTAAACTTCAAAAACTACTATTAACACATAAGGTTAAAAGTTTGGAAGGACATACTCCAAAAATGTTAGTCACAAGTCCAAGGGGTAGGAATGTAGGAGATTTTTACTTTCTTCTTTATGATTTGCTATAATGTCTGATTTTCTTTACCATGATAGCCCATTGTTTTCACGATCACAAACAAAACACTAAGATCCAGTATAACTGGGCAAATGGCACAGATGGACAATTCACAAAATCGGAATTTCAAATGATCAATTAACAGGTTTAAAAAAAAAAGCATTTATTAAATCAACGAATTATATCATTCCTGCCTCTACTTTCATCAAATCGGCGAATCATTTTTTAAACTACATTACCTACAGCCAGAGAGACAGGCACTCACACATACTGCTTCTGAGATTATGACAGATACTGGAATTTCCAGAAAGCAGTCTTGTAATATGTATTAAGAACCATCAAAATGTGTATATTCTTTAGGGTGTCTGGGTGGCTCAGTCGGTTCAGCATCAGACTTTTTTTTTTAAACTTTTTTTAATGTTTATTTATTTTTGAGACAGAGAGAAACAGAACATGAACAGGGGAGGGGGAGAGAGAGAGGGAGACACAGAGTCCAAAGCAGGCTCCAGGCTCTGAGCTGTCAGCACAGAGCCCGATGTGGGGCTCAAACTCACGGAGTGTGAGATCATGACCTGAGCTTAAGTCGGACGCTTAACCGACTGAGCCACCCAGGCACCCCAAGCATCAGACTCCTGATCTCTGCTCAGGTCACGATCTCATGGTTAGGTGCCTGAGATCAAGACTCACAGTTTGTGAGGTCGAGGCCCACAAGTCGGGCTCTGCACTGGCTCCAGGCGCCCCAGAGACTGCTTGGGATTCTCTCTGCCTGTATGTCTGCCCCTCCCCCACTTGCTCTCACTGTCGCTCTCAAAATAAATAAATAAACTTTAAAAAAATGCCTGCATCCTTCAATCTTCGAATTTCAAGTCTAGGAAATAACTTGAAATTTTAGCAAAGCTTTAATCATGCAGATGTTCATCACCTTAATTGTAATAATGCAAAATTACTATTTTGGCATGTTCACTGTTTATTGTTTGCTCCCTCTCTCACTCTCCAAACATTGTCAGCACCTACTAAATGCCAGTGCTGGGCTGGGCTCTGCAGAAACAGTGGTGGGTGCAATGGAGCCCCTCTTCCAGGAGTGCGCCACACCAGGGACAGGAGGGGTTCTGGGAACGGCCTGGGAGGCTCTTTGAGGGAGGGATGTTACAGACCTGAAGTGGGCATTGGCCGAGAAGGAGGAGGGCACCTGATGCCTAGCGGAGCCCTCAAACATCCAGGCAGGAACAAATCAACAGACAAGCAAATATGCAACATATTATGGGCTGCCTTTCCCTCTGCCCCTTCAGGGCCCAGGTCTCCCGCCCCCTGTGTCTCCCCAGCTCTGTGCAGAAGACCCTGGGGGCCCAGCTGTCCAGCTCACTCCCAGACCTCTGCACAAAGGCCTATTACCAGCTGCAATGAACTAAACTCTGGTGTAGCCATGCATGCAATGTCTGCGGAAACAGTGATTCCCAAGTTTTTTTGTGATGGGGAAATGCTGCTAATGTGTTGTTAACAGAGCAAGGAGGGATATTACATTGTATAACAGCAACGGCTAACTGCTGGGTGTTGATATCTCTGGTTGGAGTGATTTCGGGGTGAGGATTTTTTTCTCCCTTTTTTATTTTCCCAATTTTGTGCACGTACTATTTTTGTCATCAGAAAGAAAAGCTATGGAAAATACAAATTGAAACGAGGAAGCTGTCCCTGGGGCGCTGGTTGGGAAACCACAATATGGCAGAGTAGAAAGACTAAACACAAACGCAGACCGTGTGTCCTGTGCCTGCACCTCTGAACCGTAAGTTCTGGGGAAGTGATTTTGCGAATTAGGAAGGACGCAGGCAAGCAAAGTACCTTCTCTCCCTTCCCTTGGAGAGAAAATAACACCGCCCTCATGTTTTCCTTCTGTTCTTCAAGAATTGAATAGGGGGCCCTGCTCTAGCACCATGACAACTATCATCATCCATCATCATTATCATTCTATCTTACGAAGCAAGATTTTTTGCTTATATTCTTATGACTGTCAGAAGAATCCTGTGTTCTACAGCAGTAGGACATTTTTGCCCTTGTTATATAACAATCAGGACTCAGAGAAGACAGGATGCATTTACCCAAAGGCCCGGGGCACAGTGTAGGTCCTATGCTGAGATCAGTCAGCACCTGGCCATCCCCAGTGACTGGAATGGACCAGCTTCCTACCTCTCTCCTGGGACAGCAGGCTTCATCTCCTAGAGAGACAGGGAGAATCCAGAAGAATCTACAGGCAGAACCAGAAGAGGATTTGTCTGTCCAGAAACATTATTTCAGGCAGCACATGTGTGATGCACATCCAAGAAAGGCTCCTTGACAGATTATCCTCACTCCCTCTCACATGTAAAACGCCACCAGGACATTGTGGGAGGGGCAGATAGTTCTGGGGTCAGAGGTCAGGTTCTCCATTGACCACTTTTCCATCCTTGGCTATAGTATTTAAACTATTCAAGCTGCCTGTGTAATACAGGGATGAATTATACTCTTTAAGTAATTGTGAAAATGATGAACATTATCCATAAAGCCCCTGGGACATCAGAAGTGACAACATAGACAGTGGCTGTATACAGTGGATGGCAGATGCGGTCAATGTGGTCTGCTCAGATAATTGACCTACTTCTTTAGGGATTTCGTCCTTGTTTGGTGTGAACTGATGCAACCTTGCCCCTTGCGCCATGATGTGTACATAGCCCAGGTGAGTTACCTATTCACCCCAAACCATAGCAATTGGCTCAAGGGTGTGCACATGACCCAAGCAGAGCCACTCAGACTTCCCTGGGCATGAAGGGATATATGCCCATAGGAAAGGAAATTTCCTCTTTCCGGGAGAGTTGTTAAGATGGGGGAGTGTGAGTCTAGAGTCTCCAGGGGCTAGCTTGCCCATCAGATGGACGATCCTGCCTACAAGGTGAAATCAACAGGAGTTGAGAGTTGGAGAGATGGGGACAGAGGAACAGAGACAGAGGGACAGAAGGAACAAAATTGTTTGAGAACTTGGTTCCAGTCAGGCTTGAGCCCTCCAGCTGTCTAGCTATGCCAACCAATACATCTTTTTCTTATTAAAGTCAATTTGAGGTCATTTACAATCAAGAGTCATGGCTAGTGTATGTTATCATAATAATGCCCTTCTGAGAGGCAACTCTAATGACTCCCTGATGTGTATTCAAGTAAGAGTTTCTCTGAAGTGCCTCTAACTGGTCTGTCTGAATTAATATAGACCAAAGGGGGTTGGAGAGGCAGATTACATTGACAGTAGACATAAACCAGGGCTGTCCTGGGCAAATCGGGACATATGAGTACTAGTGACGGGATAGGAATCAAGAATAAAGGTGGAAAAGGAGATTAAACACATATAGTTCACAATCTGTGCTCAAGCTGGTGCTGAACACTGACATCTATCCACTGTCCAGGCCTATGAGCCATAATTGAAAAGATCCTTGCAGAAATGGGAGAGTGATATTCCAGAGGACCTTCTGAGAGAAGACCTGTCCCAGGCTTTGCCTCCTGGCCCCCAAACCTACCACCCTAGATGTTGAGCTCCATTCTTGATCGTATTTAATCAGGCCCTGCAGGAAGGAGTCCGGAGAGTAGGCCTGTCACTGGGCCACCAACTGGCTGCAGGATATTGCCAAGGCTTCTGGAAACAAGAAAGAACGAGCAAGAACCAGCTACTCCCTTTTGCCACCAGCAAATGAAGTCTCCAAAAGCAAAACAAAACTTTTAAGATAATCAACTTGCTTGGGGCACCTGGGAAGCTCAGTCGGTTAAGCTTCCAACTCTTGATTTCAGCTCAGGTCATGATCTCTAGGTTCATGGGTTCAAGCCCTGGGTAGGGCTCTACACTGACAGTGGGGAGCCTGCCTGGGATCTATGCCCCTCCCGCACATGTGTGCATGCGCTCTCTCTCTCTCTCTCTCTTTCTCAAAAATAAATAAACACATATTTAAACAACAAAAAGATAATCGCCTGTGTTTCGCCTCCATATCTTTAAACATTTTTTTGTCCTGTGTGCTGTCTATGGTGTGGCCCAAATGCAGTAGAGCAAGAAAATGACACCATCGTAGGCTCAGAGCCAGAAGGCCAGGCTCTGCCACCATTAGTCATGTGACCTTGAGCCAGTCACTGCCTGCAGCTTCTAAGTGGGGCGATAAAACGCGCCAAGCAAGGCTGTTGTTGAGAATTAGAGGTAACAGGCCCCCCGGCCCAGGGCCCAGTGTCCTCGATAAATGGCAGTTACTATTATGACATGTCGGCTCACAGGCTAGGGACAGTGCCTCTCAGTTCATCTGGTCTGTGGCCCTCCCCGTGGTGAGAAGCAGCAGGCTGACCTTTGCCAGCTTTACAGCCGGGCAAATAGAGGCGCCAAAAAGCAAACAG